AGGAATAACCCCAGGCATCAGGACAGATTAGGGGTCGACCTGCTGGAAAGCAGCTCCACAGAGAGGGACCTGGGAGTCCTGGTTGACACTAAGTTAACCATGAGTCAGCAGTGTGCCCTCGTGGCCAAGAAGGCCAATGGGATCCTGGCCTGCATCAGGAGGAGTGTTGCCAGCAGGTCAAGGGAGGTGATTCTGCCCTTCTACTCAGCTCTGGTGAGGCCGCATCTGGAGTACTGTGTGTAGTTCTGGGCTCCCCAGTATAAGAGGGATGTAGACCTTCTCAAGAGGGTCCAGAGAAGAGCAACCAAGATGATTAAGGGAATGGAACATCTCTCGTATGAAGAGAGGCTGAGTGAGCTGGGCCTGTTTTCTCTGGAGAAGAGAAGCCTCAGAGGGGATCTGATTAATGTGTATAAGTTCAGGAAGGGAGAATGCAGGGAGGAARGATTTTCATTGGTGGCCAGCGATAGGACGAGGGGTAATGGCCATAAGCTGGAGYACAGGAAGTTCCGTCTCCAGATGAGGAGGAACTTCTTTACTGTGAGGGTGCCAGAGCCCTGGCACAGGCTGCCCAGGGAGGTTGTAGAGTCTCCTTCTCTGGAGGTCTTCAAAACTCGCCTAGATGCTGCCCTGTGCCACATGCTCTAGGTGTGCCTACTTGAGCAGAAAGGTTGGACTAGATGATCTCTAGAGGTCCCTTCCAACCTTGAACATTCTGTGATTCTGTGAAATTATGTAATCTCCAGGAATTCAGCTAAGCTCCAAGTTTCAGTGTAGAGACTGGTACCATCAAGTTCAGAATAAAAGGAGAGAATTTCTCCTACGGTGAATACTGAGAATTTTGCCCTACTGCCTTAAGTCTCCCAGAAAGGAGCAGCAGACAAGTGATAGACACTAGCCTCAGGAAAATTTTTGTTTTCTCAAAGACGATCTAACAAACCCTTGGTTTGTTACGACACAGAAGAGAAGAACTATTTGTTCCTTACTGATCAGGATATCTGATAACAGTTGAATAAAATATGGCCTAAACTGTTAGAGTGAAATCAATTATTTATGATCCATGCAAATATAACAGAAAGTTCAACCAGATACAGGGTTTTTTGATTGTTTGCTTGGTTGTTTTTGTTATCAGAACAATACATGTTCTCTATTCTAAAAATAAACCACGGTTAATCACATCAGTATAGTAATGGGCTTACTTTTATGGCTCTTCCTTATCTGCAGTCACCCTTGTTCAGTTTCGGACCTACCACAGATTTCTGTCTACCACTTCTACATGTGTTTGGTGGTGTTTTTTGGCTATCTAGGGTTAACTATCATTTATGTTTTATGTTCCACAGGAAAGTTAGTGATAACAGCAAATCAAAAAAACATAAACCAAAAATAAAATGACTGTTATAGCATTTCATAATTGGTGCTCAGATGTATTCTGAGAACTTATATGCCATGTATGCTGTGATGTTCCTAAATACTGGTATACTTAAATTGAACAACTTTAATGTCAACTGTGTAGTACTTCATCATCACCGTGGTAGACCTCAATGCTCTTCAATGCCACTAGCTTTTTATCACTATCATTACAAGCTATCTAACATAACTGGTGGTGGTGTTATTATTCATTCTTTATAAACTTTTTTTTAAAAAATTTTTTGGTACTCCTAGAAAAATGATGTATTGAGAATGCCTGTTTCCAAATTGAAAACCGCTTTAAAAATAAAAGCAAAGTATTTTCAGAACAGACATAAATCAGCAGCGAGTCTTCCAGGGACTAGTGATGCGATTGGCTTCATTAAGTATCTTTGTCAATTACTTGAGGAAGGAAGTACATACTAAAATCCCCAAGTCCCCTTACAGACAGAATCCAAGATGACTGACTATCTGAACAGTGACTGCCAAAAGGGTAACAAAACATTGAACATCTTCAGGGAAGGAACTAAGAATAGTTCAAAAGACATAATTCCATGAGTATATAAAACCAGGCTCACATCTTGAGTGCTGTGTATAATTCTGGTCTGCACGTCTCAAGGAGCAGGGAGTGGAGTTAGAGACTAAGTGCAAAAAAAGCAAGTACAAAAATCAGGTCTGTGAGGCAGCTGCTTCATGCAGAGAGATCTAAAAGGCTGGAGGGCTCAGTTTGGAGAGGAAGAGATTAATGAGATGTGCCTGATATTTAGAAAATCTTGATAGTGGCAGATAAACTGAGCTTTGAATTCACTAAATCTCTCAGTACAAGAGGTAGGGGACATAGGGCATAGGGCAGCTTGCTGCCGTTAGATGCTGTGGAAGGGGACAGTGAGAGTATGCCAAGGAACAGCTTTAGTAAATTTGTGGACTAGAGGTCTGTAAATGGATACAGAAAGACAAGGCAGGGAGGTATCCTCTGACATCCCTCATGCAATAGTTTTGACTGTTGGGGAAATAAACATAATGGTCCACACAAAGTGGTTGAGCTTGCTACCATCCCTAATGGCATCTCCTTTTCCACTGCTGGTGGCACATTGGGGGCTGCTGAGCCTTTGGTCTGGTCTACTGGGGAAGTGCTGGTGCTCTCATTCATG